GAGGCAGCCTCATGTTATTTGGAGGGTGAGTACTGAGGGAGCATTGCGCTGTCGGAGGGTCAGTTCTGCGGACGTGCTGCGCTGTTGGAGGGTCAGTGTGCAGGGTTGGCTGCATTTTTTGAATGAGGATGTTTAAACATGAATCTGTCTGTCCTCTTAGGTGAATGATCCATGACATTGCTTTGAAGAAAAACAGGGGAAATAACCCTACCCAATATTCAACAATCAACTGACATTATTAAAAAGCAAATTATCTGGTGGTTGTCACATTGCTGCTTGTGGGAACTTGCTGTGTGCAAAGTGGCTGCCACATTTTTTTTACTGAAGTGACTCCACTTTGTGTTAGGTAGGGTGCTACATAACTGCCGATGTTTGTTTCTCTCTGCTTCATTAATACTCTTTCCTCCAATATTAAGTCAGAAGTGAGGACGTGATCTGCTGGTTGCACAGTGTTCAGCTGAATTTATAACTCATCAGGTTCTGAAGGTGTCTGTGTCTGCACGCAGCCAGACCTGGACAATGTCCATGCTTGGCTGCTGAGTGGCGGGCTACGTTCATGTTGTACAAGTGTTAACTGACTATCTTTAATAAGAGTTTGAACCATCTCCTGCTTGTATTTTAAAAGCATGGCACCCCCACTATTAACATCCTCAGGGGTTTTGCTGCAAAACTAGAAACTCTACTTGATCCAGTGCTATTATAAATGTCTAGGCCTGTTGGAGCAGATCAGAGCATGAATATCCTGTTGTGAGCGCCACCTGTAGATCAAGCCAGGGCTTCCACCTGATGGGCATCCAGCACAAAGTAGTCTGCTTGATTGATCATTCATTAAACTAAACAGCCTCTGCTATACCAGGACTGTAACGTGTATTGTCTTCAGTGTTGTTGTCAAATCTTCTTTGACAACATCTCCAAAGCCGGTGACCTGTATCATGTAGAAGGTCAAGCAAAGTGGCATTATCAGGATCCCACCATACTAGTTCCCCTCTGAGTCTAACTTAATCCTGTGTTGGGCATTAATCGCTGTTCCTTCATCACCAATAACCTGGGCTTGCTACCAAACAACACAGTGGGAGCACTGTCTCGATCTCTGTGCAGACTTTTTAAAAGTGATCAGAACTTTCATTGCAACCCAGAAGAATGACATGGAAAGCTTTCTTTGTTTGAAATCTTTTACTGCACCAAATTACTAAAAAAAAGAGCTCTGACTGAACACTATTTTTGTTTTGTAGGCCACTTCTACCTCACACTATGGAAGGTGACATCGCCACTTTTTGCTCAGGGTGTTGCCATGGGGAATGCAGTTTCCCCTTTTTACTTATCACCCCTTGGACTCTTCCCTGGAATTACTTTTAACAAACAGTCCACAACTGCTCTCAGCTTCCATCAGGTTCCTGTATCCCCATTTTGCCCAGCATTAACTTTGAGTGCCTGTTTCCAGGCTCTTTGAGTGGATTCCAGAAAATTTCTTACCTGCTATCAGCGGATTCTGATGCTCCTCCTTCCCCAGCCATGCTACAATGCGGCTGCAGGATGCTCTCTTCAATGAGAGACTGACACTGTCTCCCTCTATCTGGATGGCAATAGTTTGCAAAGCCAAAACAGCCTCTTCATAATGCTAAGCACACTCAACTGCTGTCTGTCTGTGATCTTTGTTGATTTGTAGGGAGGCCTGTAACCCAATGGCTCTTTCTGCTCTCTTTTCCCCATGGCAACGTGAAACACATTGGACTTGCCTTTAGTTAGCTCTGCTTGTTCTCAACTTCCTTCAAATCATAAAAGTAGAAGGGCAGTGTACAGCATGACAACTACAACACTTCCCTGTGACTTTGGGAGACTCCTGTATACTCATTGTAAGCTCAGGGACTGCTGGCTATGTCTCTAAGCTCTTAGCAAAACAATCTAAGCCTTCCTTTGATCTTGAACAATCAAACCACCCAGGCTTACTGTCAGACTGCTGAACAGCTGACATGTTCCACTTTGTTGATCCTAAATTTAAAGCTAGAGTGCCAAAGTTGCCTAATTTAATAAAATTTATCGTTGCAGCTACCCATTCACCAAGTGGGTTGAATTGGTTCAAGAAGAACACACCCCTGCAGCTTCTCTCAGGGTGGGTGATGTGTATTGGCTTTGCATGAGAGATCCACATCCCGAGAATGGATCTAAAGCATTGCTGTCAAAGGTTGTAGAATCATAGAAAATCAAAATAGAGGTAATACTAATGGTTTGGCCGTGATTACAGCGTCATGACTGTGGTTCAGTGCCTTTCCTTTGGAATGATGTCAAGTGCGTGGAGAGAAGACGGTGTTAAGTAGAACGGCATGAGAGGCTTTAGTGGAGGCTAAAGAAATTATTGTATGTTCCTGACCAGAGCAGGTCTGAGACACCTTCCAAATGGTGAGTTACACAGTAAGATGTATTTCAGATCTCCAGATTTCTGCCTTTGTGAATAGTGGAAGTGTTTGCTAGCTGGTTAATAATATGACAGCCTTTAAACCAGCCAGAAAGTGGAGAGTCCTGGGTGGAAGGTTTTTATAGGCATCCCCGTAACCCATGCGAAAAGGAGGAGGAAGTGCAAGGTGGGGAAAGTGTGTAGCAGACACCCACAGCCCCCAGATGCCTTTAACCAGTTTCATGTTAATTCTGAGCAGGCATCCTTCTTTGGCAGAAAGTCAAAGCTATATCTGCTGCTCTGTGAGTTGTTATCTAATGATTAAAAATGATCCTTACAGTAATGAAGGGAGAGGTTATTTAGAATCAACACAGAAGCAGGCATTAGGATGCTATTTATGCCAAATATGCTGCTCCTTGCCTACTTCATTTCACCTTATCAACAAATCTATTTATTCCTTTTTCATACACCTTTCACTCTCGTGTACTTGTCTCACTTGGTCATGAGCACCTTCTACAATACTCACCTCAGCGATACTCTGCATGGTTGAGAGTTTTGCGTTCTGATCACTGTCTGACTAAAGTTTCACCTGAATACTTTATTGGACATATTTACCACTCTCCTATTGATTGTTCCTAGATTTGAATAAAATTATTCTAAACCACACCTCAGACTTGTGTTTTCTAAAGTATTCCCGCTGGTTCAGGCCTCCCCTTTCCTGTATAAGGTTTTGGTGCTGGTTTCATCCAGTTGTTGGGATTCACAGCAATCTACCACATTAGGACAATCTCTCTTTTTAGCACAACTTTCCATCAGAAACAATGATGAAAGCAGAATGCATAATCTTCACCTACTTCTCTGTTTTAAAAACTCCTTGGAAACCAAAACTTTAAACAATCATGGGACAGAGTAGATGGATACGACCGAGAACTGGCACAGGTAGCAGGAAGGAGAGGTTTTATAGGCACTCATGTCCTAGGGAAAAGAAGGAGGGAAGTGCAGGGTGGAGGCTGAATGGCCTCCTGTGCTGTTCAGTATATTTGAGTGCTTCAGGTATTGTCTTGATCAAGGGCCTCACTCTTGAGTAATTGGATGTGGATTGACTGCTGGAAGTCTATGCACACTGTACTTGTTTCAGTCATGAGTTGAGAGGGTTGCCAGGTACAAGGCTCAACTCCTGCCATCAGGCCATTCCTGGCCCCCCGTTCCTCAAAAATATTTTTACAAAAAGGCCTGAATTTCTGTAACATTTAAAAGTGCTTTACAGCTAATATTTGAAATGTAGTCACTATTGTTAAGGATAGCAGGTGTGGCAGTCGATTTATGCACATCAAGCTGTGACTAACAGTAACATGATAATGAACAGGTAATTTTTTTTTGCAGCATTAACAGAGGGTGAAATATTGCCTCGGGCACTGGGAATATCTCACTTGTTCTTCTTCAAGATAGTGCCGTGGTATCGTTTGCATCCACTCAAGCAGACGCATGGGGCATTGGTTTAAAATCTCATCGAAAAGATGGCACCTTCAAAAGTGCAGCGCTCCCTCAGTTCTGCAGCTTTGTTTTTGTTTTGTGTGATCGGGCTTGGCGTTGAGATTGATCCTGGAGCTTTCAAACTCAGGACTTCAACCCATACCAATTGGGCTACAGCAGATCTAGTTTCACTGAAACAAACTGACCTGGTCATAATCACTAACATTGACGCATATCAACGGGGCTGAGAAGGAATCTGCAGGATACGATGCAATGCAATTAGCAGATCGGGCTCAGAAAAGACTTAGTGAATGTTAATGATCAGATTGCTGAAATATCTCTGTGTGTAAATAATGTGCTGCGTTACAATAATGACTGCACTTCCTGTGATTGTAATTTGCCTCGCGATGATCTCGGGTCAGGACAATGTAAAACCTTCTTTCAAGTCGTGTGTTAGACATTTTTGGTGGTATGTTTTGGTAATGTCCCTGGGCTAGTCATAGAGATTAATAGTGTGCTGGGAACACGGGTTCACATCCCGCCACACTGATGAGTTTACATTCAGTTAATTAATAAATTTGGAATTGAAAGCATGCCTTAGTCAGGATGACCATGAAACTATCGCAGCTAGCTGTAAGAAACCATCGCACTTCACTAACTCCTTTAAAGGGAAGAAATCTGTCCTTCATTGGTCTGATCTCCATGTGACACCAGATTCATAGTCACTCCTATCAGAAAAGGCCTAGCTAGCCTTTCTAAACTGGTCCAGATACCAGTCAGACTAGCCATTTACAAAGGCAGCTCACCATCATCAAGGGCAAATGTAGATGGGGACCCAATGATGGCATTGTCAGAGGTGCACACGTTCCTCTGAAACAGTAAGAAGATACATTACCTGAAGAACAAATTTTGAGAGGGCCGGGGTAAGTGAATTTCCACTGCAGTCAGTACTGCCTACACTGGCAAGATCACTATCTTATTGCTGGACATTGTCAGCTCCCTGACAGTGGGCAGCTTCCTCCAGGTGTGGTGCATTGACATTTACCGAATGCAGTCTACAGGGAAGTTCGTAGACAGCAGTTCAGAGCTTGGGACCTGAGCCCCAGGGAGGGGACACCATTACAACACTTGTTAAAATGGAATAGGCTTCGCTGAGTTTCAAGCTCAGGATCTCCTATTCGTTAGGTTGACCCACAGCACCAAGTGTATTCAATTCCAACATGTTAGGGTGGGATTTGAACCCATTACTCCAGAGCAAGAGCCTAAACTACTGGTTTAGGGATGTAGCCACTACTCCAGCACTCTATATATCTCCACAGTATTGTTCATTAGTTCGATTGGATGTACCTCTGGAGCAGGTGGGATTTGACATAAGACCCTAGGCGTAGGAGCACAATTAGGACATTCGACCCATCGAGTTTTCTCCAACATTCAATCATGGCTAATATGTCTCTCAGACCCATTCTCCTGATTTCTTCCTATAACCCATGATCCCCTTAACAATCAAGAACACAATCTTTGTCTTACGTACACACTCAGCCTTCTGCAGCAATGAGTTCCACAGATTAATCACCCTACGGCTGAAGAAATCCCTCCCCATCTCAGTTCTGTAGCGCTGTTCATTCATTCTCAGGCTATGATTTCAGGTCCTAATCTCTCCTACCGGTGGAAATATGCTTCACATCCACTCTATCCAATATTCTGTAAGTTTCAAGCAGATCCCCCCTTATCCTTCTAAACTCATTGAGTACAGGCATAGAGTCCTCAACTGCTGTCTACGAACTTCCCTGTAGACTGCATTTGGTAAATGTCAATGTGCCACATCTGGAGGAAGCTGCCCACTGTCAGGGAGCTGACAATCTCCAGCAATAATATGACAAGCCCTCCATCCCCGAGATCATTCTTGTAAATGAAAGGAGTGCTAACATTGTGTTTGCCTTCCTAACTGCCAGCTGAACCTGCTTGTTAACCTTAAGAGAATCCTGAACTCGGACACCTTAAAAACCTAGGACACCTTTTGTGTTTCAGATTTCCGAAGCATTTCCCCATTTAGAAAATAGTCTACACCTCTATTCTTCCTACCAAAGTGCATACCTCACACTTTCCCACATCGGATTACATCTACCATTTCTTTGCCCACTCTTCTAACTTGTCTAAGTCCTTCTGCAGCCTCCCTGCTTCCTTAACACTACCTGCCCCTCCACCTGTCACCTGCAAACTTAGCGACTTTGCCCTCGGTTCCATCATCCAGATTGTTAATGTATAATGTTTTGGATAGTTTTGGTCCCAACACTGACCTCTGCTTTCTGCCAGTCAGCCAATCCTCTATCCATGCCAGTACCATGCCCCTAACACCTTGGGCTCGTATCTTATTTAACAGGCAGCACTTTGCAGAGGCCTCCTCAAAATCCAAATAGATCACGTCCACTGGCTCTCCTTTGTTTAACTTGCTTTTTACCTCCTCAAAAAAGTGTTGTCCAGCTGGGCAGAGGATAGGATATTTGACTCCAGTGGGATGCCGAACGTGGGAGTGTAGCTTATTATTACCAGGCAGTTACTTTTTTGGCCATTTGGCAGGTTATGTCTTCAGTAATGTGCATTCTTGCAAACTTTAATTTGGTTTGTTTTTGCCCCCATCCCCTCCCCTTCCCTGACCCACCACCGTTACCGCAGGGACCGCTTGGGCTTTGGAGAAGACGCCCCCGCATGGAGCCTGGGATGTTTCAGGTGGAGTTCCCGAACTTTGGCAACAACTTGCTGAGGAAGCTGAACCAGCAGCGGATAGAGGGCAAGCTGTGCGACATCACCATCCACCTGCAGGGCCAGATGTTTAAGGCCCACCGGGCAGTTCTGGCTGCTTCCTCGCCCTACTTCCACGACCAAGTGCTCCTGAAGAACGCCAGCCGCATCGTACTGCCCAGTGTGATGAGCCCCAAGGCCTTCGAGAACGTGCTGGCCTCATCCTACACGGGCAAGCTGACCATCCTGTCGCCCGACATCGTCAGCTACCTGACAGTGGCTAGCTTCCTGCAGATGTGGCACGTGGTGGACAAGTGCACCGAGCTGCTGCGGGAGTGTCAGCCCCCGGCCCCGGCCCCCAGCCAGAACCAGTCACCCAGCAGCAGCAACTACCTCAGTCCCTGGCACGGGCCCGAGCTGCCCACCAAGTTCGAGAGGCCTGAGGATGACGGCATCAAGGTGGAGGGCCATCACCACCACCACCAGGAGCAGCAGCATCAGGAGGAGGAGGAAGAGGAGGAGGAGGAAGGGGCGGCGGGTGGAGGGGATGATGAGGAGGAGGACGAGGACGAGGAGGACGACGGGCAGAAGGGCCCAGCCTCGCCACACCAAGAGACCGAGCAGGACAATGTCATCAGCAACTCGGCCGATCGGGAGAGGTTCGGGGCAGAGGGCCGGGAGAGCGAGGCCGGGGCATTGAGCGATGGCGCCGACTGCCCTTACCCGCTGCAGGCCTACAGCCAGCCCAGCATAGTGCCGCACAAGCGCTGGGTCCTAGTGAAGAGCGACAAGGTGGAGGGCGGGCGGTCACCGGGTGGTGGGGGGGAGGAGGACGAGGAACGGCACTTTGTGCTGGTGCCACCCATGGGCAAGAGGGAGCCGGAGGACCCTGGGCACGAGATGCCCGCCCACTTCGGTGAGCACCTCGCACCCGAGGAGTACGACGAGTTCGCTGAGGACCCCAGCTACGACGAGCCCGTCGACTACTACGGATCCTCGGACGACTTCCACTTCGAGCGGCCAGCAGGGGGCAGCCCCGGGAGCGCGGTCATGCAGGGTTCCGGGCTGCCCGGCGAGATCCAGGAGAATGGTGCCTACGGGGTACTGGGCGAGCCAGGCCCCAGTTCCGGGCAGGTGGGAGCAGCAGCTGGCTCCGACTTCCCCGGCGGCGCCGTCTACAAGCTCTACCCCTGCCAGTGCGGCAAGAGCTTCGCCCACAAGAGCCAGCGGGACCGGCACATGAGCATGCACCTCAATGTCAGGCCCTTCGGCTGCCCCATCTGCAACAAGAAGTTCAAGATGAAGCACCACCTGATGGGTCACATGAAGATCCACACCGGGCACAAGCCATACGAGTGCCACTACTGTGGCAAGAAGTTCATGTGGCGAGACAGCTTCACGCGCCACCGCAACGCCTGTGCCAAGCTGTACCACGCCGCCACTTCTGTCCCCATCCCCCTCCCTGACATCGACGTGCCCTCTGACCTCAGCGTGCCCTCTGACGTCTGACCCAGCTCCTCTGACCACCCGCACCCCCCCCCAACCCGTTCACCCCCCACCCACTCTCCGCCCTCCCTCCAGCCGCCGCTCCTCCAACCGATTGGCAGAGACTCAGGACGGGTGTGTGGGAGGGGAGGGGAGGGGGGGAGGCTGCAAGCAGACGTGTGGGAATGAATGAACCAAAGTCGTCGTTGGGTGGGGGGGCGGAAAGGACTGACGAACACAATCCCAAACCTGCCGAGGACGTGACCAGCTGGACATTTCAAACAAGACTGACCTACAGCTGAGCCAAGCCAGCTTTAAACCCACCTACCTTTGAATCAGGGCATGCTGACGATTTTTACAAGAAAGAAATATTTAAGTGTATATATATAAAACAAATTATATATATATATATATTTAGGTATATGTATATGTGTGTGTGTAAATTGTGGTGCTGCACACGGAAGTATTTTTTATGGCCACCTCTGCTTTATAATATTTATGGAATTTAAAACTGGTCAGGGTTGGAGATGCTCCTTGGCACTGCTTAGATTCTGGTAGAAAGGGGAACCTCAGAATCCTGTGTGTTGGCCATGTCCTGCATGCTGTAAGGTTGTGGAAGCAAATCACCTCCGGAGAACCTGAGCCAGAATATTGAGGCTGGTACTGCCAGTGTCAATATGGAGACATTAAACCGAGGCATGGTGCTCTCTGTCAAGTTGGAGGCACGTGATCCTTACATTTGGTCTTTCAAAGTAAGAGCCATTTGGTTGGGAGGGGGTGCATCAAGGTAAGCATGGGGACAGGGGCAGGATTCTGTCTTCAGCATTCTCACTGAAACAGATGATCGCCTTGCTATTGGTTGGAGCTTGCTTTGTGCAAATTGACTGCTTCACTTCCCTCCATCACAACAGTGTCTTCACTTCAAAAAGTACTTCAGCAGCTGTAATGGACCTTTATGAAGCCTGTGTTTCGGCTTTCCTTTCAGAAATGTCAGCATTTTTTTTTCCCGCTTTTAATTTTGTCATGTCCTTTACTATTTTTGTCTTTTTTCTTAAAAAAGTGTGGAATTTTAACTGCTGTCCCTGTGAATAAAGAAAGTTTGGTGACTGACTGGGCTCAGAGTTAATTGCACTCATTCGACTGTGACCTCAAGTGACTATGCACTAGACAAGGAACTGGTAACCTCCTGGTAATGTCACTAGACTAGCACTTCGGCAGACCAGGCCAGAGCTGTGGGCACAATGGTCCAAAACCCTACCAGCGCAGCTGGAGGAGTTGAAATTCACTTAATAAAGATTTGGATTTGAAAGCTAGTATCAGGGATGAAGCTATCATTAATTATTGTTTAAAACCCATACAGGTTCAATCATGCTCTTTAGGTCATTTACCTGGTCTGGTCACGTGACCTTCTGACCCACTGAAATGTGGTTCACTCTTAAATGTCCTCTGAAATGGCTTCTCAAGCCGGTCAATTCTCAGAGTCTGGGAATTCTGCACAGGGTAACTCACCTCCTGACTCCTCGAAGCCTAGAAGCACAAAGGCAGCAGATGGCTGGGAGTACTCCAGAGGTGATGGCTCAGTGGTATTATAGCTGGACTGTTAATCCAAAGACCAGACGACATTCTGGGGACCTGGGTTTGAATCCTGCCACTGCAGATGGTGGGATTTGAATTGAGTAAATATCTAGAATTATGAATATAATGATGACTGTGAATCCATTGTTGATTGTTGGAAAAACCCATCTGGTTCACTAATGTCCTTTCAGGAAGGAAACTGCTATCCTTCCCTGGCCTGGCCTGGCCTCCGTGTGATTCCAGACCCACAGCAATGTGCTTGACTCTTAACTGTCCTCTGGGCAATTACGGCTGCCTAGCCAGTGACACCCTCATCCTGTGAATGAGTTTAAAAAAAACATCCCCACCAAATGCAAGTTCCCTTCCGAGCTCATAGACCATCCTGACTTGGAAAAATTTCACTGTCACAGGGTCAAAGTCCCAGAACTCCCTCTCTAACAGCATTGTGGGTATACCTTCACCCCATGGATTACATCAGTTTGAGAAGGCAGTTCATGACCACCTTCTCCAGCCCAGTGAGGGATGGGTGACACATGGAACAAAAACAAAGTTGCTGGAAAAGCTCAGCAGGTCTGACAGCATCTGTGGAGGAGAAAACAGAGTTAACGTTTCGGGTCCGGTGACCCTTCCTCAGAAGGTTCTGA